TGGGGGGGAAGCAGCATTCCTGAGGGTGGGGGTAAGGAAAAATTCTTCTGGGCTAGATAGGCCGGCCTGGGCCTGAGAACTAGCCTGAAGGTTGACTGTTGAAGTCACTTACGCAAGGAAATTCTGCAAGAGCCTGTGGCAGGAGAGCTGAGGGGCAGAGGCCGCTGTGGACGCAGCCGCAGGACAGATTTGGTCCCATCTGGGCATTGCGGAAGAGGATCTACCCCAGGTTGGGTGGTGGGTCCGCTGCAGGCAGGGTCACTCAGCCTGAGCACCTAGGATGGGTGCTTTGGAGGCAGAGCACCCCTAACCTTTCTGGGTGTGTCAGCCCCCCAGAGGGGAATCCTTTGTATATAAGAAGCACGCCCTGCGTGGAATTCTGGCTCACAGCACCGCTCTTTTTCAGCTCTTTGCAGGCTCCTAGGTCAGGAGCACCCCTGTCCACTTTCTTCTTGTGACATCACACAACCACGTCCCCATTCTGCCGTCGTTGCAGGGGCTCTTCTCTGATGCAAAGCTGCTAATAGTGTCCTTCACTCAAGTAACAATCCCCGATTGCAGCTCTGGGCAGGGCAAACCGTAAATGTGCTCCATCTCTAACGGGAAGGCTGGCGTTTGAGAAGCAGCTCAGAAGAAAGAGCAGGAGACCGTCTTCTGAGAAGCCAGTCCTTTGGAAGCCCTATGTGCCCATCGGGTCACCTCAAGTAGGACCTGACCTGACCTGACCTCTGTCTTTCCCTCTGAGATTCTCCGAGAGTCCTCAGGGGGATCCAGGCCCTCCCTCGGCACACCTCGGAGCAGCAAGCCTCCCTTCAGTACTTGCTCCACACCAGGGTGCCCTCAAGGTCCCCACACTCCCAATCACTGTCACTGAGTCCATGCCACTTCATAGCAACCCTATAGGACAAGGCCGAACACCCCTGCTGGTTCCCCAGACTGTAACTCTTTACGCAGCAGAAAGCCTCATCTTCCTCCTGCAGGAAGGCTGCAGGTTCTGAACTGCCAACCTTGCCGTCAGTAGCCAAACACCTAACACACTAGTGGTAGCACTACAGGCTGGCTTTTATAGAATTCATACACCAGAAGGGTAGGGGGGAGGTATGGAGAGGAAGGGAGGAAGGGGGAACTGACCGCAATGATCGCACATCCCCCCTCCACTTCCAGGGGGCCGCAACCATGGGGGAAGGGAGATAGTCGTCGGTGTAAACTATGAAAATAATAATAATTTACAATGTATTAAGTGGTCACAAGGGTGGGGAGAAGGGTAAAAAGAGGAGCTGATACCAAGGGCTCCAGAGAAAGTAAATGTCTAGAAAAGAATGATGGCGACATAGGTACAAAGATGATTGTGATAAGAGTTGCAAAAGCCCCCAGCAAAATGCTCTTGGAAAAAAAGTCATCATTTTTGATACCTATTCTATCTGCAATAAACGAAGTCAAGCACTTCATCAAGCGACGTTCCCACGTGGGAAGCGGCATCCTCAGCAAGCTGCACCAGGCATTTTCACACTCCACTGACACGCAGACGCTGACCCCGCCCCTCCTCTCTGGCCCATTCCTCCTCTCACTCTGGGAGAGCGGGCATCGGAGCCAGCCCCTTCCTTTTCTGCCAAGGAGAAGCCTCAGATTTACGTTCACCAACCAGAGGGTGGCAGAGCTAGAAAAGCACTTGCGGGCACCTACCCTGAGCCCATGTCAGAATGCTCTGAACAAGGCACACATAGGCCCCTCCCTCAATGACCTCTAGGGTCAGCCAAGGAAGCAAGGGTGCCACCACACTGAAGGGAAACATCAGGGACTAAATTGTGCCACTCCCCTCTTCCCCACCCCAAAGATAGGTGTCAGCCCCAAGCCCCCAGGATTGTGTGGTTGTCTTCCATTTGGGGATCTGACAGAATCATTCTCCATGTAATGTGTCCTACAGCTCCATTTCTGTCTATTCTGTGTCCTACATCTTCATTCTGTCTGCTCATGAGATACTCGGGTGGCACGGGCTTACGGCACCCAGCTGGTAACTGAGAAGTCAGCAGCAACCCACAGGAGCGAGATGTGCCGGTGTCTGCCAAGACGACAGCCTTGGAAACCCGTAGGTTTTCCTCCACCCTGCAGGGGGCTTTGACTCGGGGTCGCCCCGTGGCGGTGGGTGTGAGTTGGCGTTACGTGTTTATGAGGAACAGCTGGGAGAGTCTGTCTGGACACATAGACTCACTCAAGTCCCAGCCTTGACTCAAGCCCTCCCTGGCTACGCACACCTTCTGTTTGTACAGGAGATACAGGGGAGAGACCTGAGAGAGGGGGAATGGACGTCACCATCTCTAAGAAAGAGCAAGGAGCAGAGCACATCCTTTGGACCCAGGGCCCCTGGGCTGAGACGCTCCTAGACCCACGGGCTGAGTGACCAAAGACACCTGGGGACCTCGAGGGAACTTCCTCTAGACCACAGGTTCCTGAACTTATTTGGCCTACCACCCTTTTCAGAAAAAACAAAAAAATTACCCAGACCCCTGCTGGCAATGAAAGACGTTTGTACAACAGCCTATAACCCAGGATGAAGTGTGGGTACATGTCTTTGTAGTCCCCTGTGGATTGTCCCAGCGGGCGATGTCACCCACTCTGGGGGACACTGCTCTAGGGCCCCCATCTTCAATTAGAACTTTCCAAACAGAGAAAGAATAAATATGTTTGTTTACAGTCATCAGCTTGCAGCGGCAACTCCGCACTGGTTTGCATTTTAGGAAGGGATTCTTGGCGCAGAGCAGTCGTGAAAGAAGGGGCTGGACAGGAAAGGTCCGTTTGGCTGCTTACCCCACTTACTCCTTTTTGAAAGTTCACCTTTAATTTTTCCACAGTGCAGTGTTTAAAAAGAATATCCATAAGCCATGCAACCACGACCACAGTCTAACTCTGGAACAGTCTCATCCCTCCCTCTGACCAAAGACACCTCATAGCCACCAGCCATCACTTCCGCTCCTCTGCTCCCAGTCCCAGGGCACCACTGCTCTCCTGTCTGCCTCTGCAGATCAGCCGGCTACACACAACCGCACAATCTGTGCCCCTGGTGTGGGCTTCTTTCTCAGTGCCCTGTTTTCAAGATTCACCCACGTGGTAGCATGCCTTAGGGCTTCCTTTCTCTTTATGGCTACGTCATTCCTGAGCCCCAGGAAGTAATTCTTTGGCTCTCTGAGGCGATGTGAGGATTTGGGAACCACCACCTCAGAGCAATGGACAAGAGCCCTCATCCTGTGAGTGCCCGGAGACGCAGCAGACCCCTCAGGAATATCACTGACCCTCCCCCACAGCACCCTTCAAGTCACAGGCCCGTTGGCAATGTCTTCTGCTAAGCACACACCCCAGTGCAGCCCCGGAACATTTTCTAGTCAGCAACCCTGCCTGGTCTCCAGACGACCATGTTTCCAAACCTGCGACTTAAATAAAGGCAAGGCCCACTGTCATCCAGAAAGACATTCTCTGGATCGCCCCACTTCTGCAAGCTTCCAGGGACCCACAATGAAGCTGTAACGTCACAGTTTTAAGAATTCCTCTAAGGAGGCCTCGTCACCCCAGTTGTCTTTTCCTAGTGCGCAGGTCAAAGCCATCTTGCTTCTCAAGCATTTTCCAGGACGGATCCCCCATGATTATCCCAAGACAAATATTTCTCACAAACCTCTCAGATTCCCATATGACTCCCCCGTGTCAGGTTATGATCTGACTTCTGGCGGCTTGAGCCGCAGCTTCCTAAACGTCTATCTCACGGGGCATAAGATTAAATGTTCTAACCCAACAAAATCCCACACTCATGTCATCCATGGGTTCTGACTCGTAGCTGTTCTTCGATGCCCATCTTCTTCTCCTTTTTAGTATAAGATCTCCCACTGCCATCGAGTCAATGCTGACTCATAACAACCCTATAGGACAGGGTAGAACTGCCCCATGAGTGTCTCTGAGACTCACTCTTTACAGGCATAGAAAGCCTCATATTTCGCCCTCGAAGCTGTTGGTGGTTTTGAACTGCTGACCCTGAGAATCGCAGCCAAATGCTTAACCACTATGCCACCAGGAGTCCTTCCATCTAGTACAAGATGGACAGGGAATTATCATGCCTATTTTCAAGAAGAAGAAATAAAGGATCAGTAAGGACGAGAGGCCAATATTCATTAGTAAAAGGTGACACAACTGAAACCAGGAGCCCTAGTGGCAGTGTGGGTTAGGCTTTGGGCTACTAATCATAGGTTGGTAGTTCAAACCCACCAGCTGCTCTGCAGGAGAAAGATGAGGCTGTCTATTCCTATAATGATCTGTACCCTCAGAAACCCTATAAAGGGTCGCTATGTATCAGAATGGACTCCACAGTATTGGGTGGCTCTGGAGGCAGCACCGGGGTTAAAGAATTGGTGGCTAAACAAAAGATAGGTGGTTCAAACCCACCAGCCACTCCACAGGAGGAAGATGTGACAGCCTCCTTCCAGAGAGAAAGATTTGCCGCTTTGAAACCCTGAGAGGGCAGTTCCACAGTCTTACAGGGTCATGATGAGTCAGAAATAACAACCCACACAGCATTTCTCATCCCATGACTCCCTGCATGTCCTGAGCGAATTCATGAGAGAACTGGTTAACTAAACTGATCTTCCAAAAAAGAAGCAAGAGTATAATTCTAGTCTGCTCCTAATTTTCCAGACTTGAGGGCACATATTGAACCCAAACTGCATTCTTCCTGCACCAGTACATTTCTTCTTGCATAGCCAGGCGGCACACATGCCAGAACACGCCCATGTGAGAGCGAACTATCCCAGGAGACCCATCTTGCAGTGTCTCTCCCCATCCCGAGTTCTTTGACACAGACCAAAGGCCACTGCAGACAAAAGAAATAGGCAAAGTGACATCTGTTGACTTTCCATGTGGATCGGAAGGAAAAGCAGGCTTTCGACCAGACCCAGTCTGCTGAGCAGAGCAGTGACCCCTTCCCTGGCCTCCTCCACGCCGCCCTCAGCTGTGGGCCTTACCCTTCCTTCAAACTTGGCAGTGGCTCCTTCTCTGAGGCAGAGATTCCGAGGGGGCACAATGAAAGCAGGGGCCTCCATCAAGGGCATGGAGCCGACTCTCGGGTGGTCCATGTTGAGGGATGTTTTGGAGACGTGCGTGGAGGCAACCAGCTTCACATCCCCCATGGTCTGCAAAACAAGAAGGGAGAGGGCAGGTCAGATGGACACGGCACACTGTGCACTGGCTTCCCTTCCAGGTACCGAGAGGGCCCACGTGCGGATGGGAGTGCCGGTGTTGCGGGTCACTGATCCCCTGAAGCATCTCACTGTGTCTTCCACGCATGGGGGCTGGCAAGGGGAGGCACAGCCACAACCGAGACACCTGCTCCCAGAGCCATGTCCTTGCCTCCTTGAAACCCATGGAGGACTTCCCACTGTACGAAAATGGCATCTTAGTACAAGGAAGTAGAGTTGACTTGTTTTCAGGGCTCTTACCATAGGGTCTGAAATCCCTATTAATACTCATTGGCTCGTCAGAAGCAACACCCTGCATTAAGCACTCATGCTTTCTTCACAGGCTAAAGACAGAATCCATCATCCAAGTAAGACAAGGAGTTCAGGCTTACCCTGGCAAGGATACTGGGTGAGTGGAATTAAGAGGGCGTAGCTTAATGAAGCAAAGGCATAGAGGTTAGATAGGGCATACCACTCTGAGGAGTAGATTGTGGAAAAGGCTCTAATATGGCAGTTCTCAGCCTGAGGGTCAAGACTCCTTTGGGGGTTGAATGACCTTGACACAGGGGTCGCCTAAGACCATCGGAAAACAAATTTCTGATGGTCTTAGGAACTGAGACACTGCTCCTCTATCCGTCTTCAGGAGGGTCTGCCCACATGCGGATACGCCCACATATGAGTACCCAGCGTGAAGACATCATCGCGCCATCAGATACAATCTGTACAAATACAGGTGTATGTGACAAGGTTGGCACCATAATATACTTATGTGGACCAGTCACACATGTAGAGAGCAGCTACTGTGTAGAGAGCAGCTACTGTGTAGAAAGCAGCTGCTGTGTTAGGAGCAGTACTGGAGGTGAAACAACACTGCATGAATTATAATTACTGGGTAAATGTAAAATCATGTACTGTAAAACTATCAACTACTGCAAAAAAATATCTGTTCCATGGGAACTTAATCTGGATGGTGATCGGTCTTTTTATATTCAGCTGGGGTTGATGTGACTACTGCCCCTTGTGATAGTTAACAGCTATGTAAAAAAAACAACAGAATGGTGAATCATAGGAAACTCAATGAACTGTATTGACTGAACTATGCCATGTATCATCTTTTGTAATATTAAAGCTATTGTTATATATTATTTTCATTAGCAAGCCATCCCATGACAACGGATCGTGTAGAGAAGAACGTTACGTAAAGAAAATATAGTGAGGATTTTTTACAGTATGGTTTTACCTCAATCATCACAGCAGGAATTGAGAAACCGCAATGTGTGAAATTCTATCAGCTGAATCTATGAAGTCTAACAAACTCAAATGCCATTTTGATAGCAAGCATTCGAACTTTGCCGGCAAGTATACCAACTATTTTAGAAGCAAAGCTGATGGACTCAAAAAGCCAGACTTGACCCTGGTGGCAAATACTACAAACAAAACAGAGCAGCCGTTGAAGCTTCCTATTTGGTGGCACTCAGAACCTCCAGAGCTATGAAACCTCACCCCTTTGGTGAGGATTTACTGTTGCCAGCGGCTAAAGACATTGTTCGAGTTAAGATGGGAGACAAATGTGTTACAAAATTGATGACATTGTCTGTAGAAGAATAGATGACATGTCTGCTGATATTCTTGATCAGGTAACCCAGGAAATTAAATCTGCTCCACTTCCAATATTTAGCATCCAGCTTGATGACTCTACAGACATTGCAAACTGTTCAGTTACTGGTTTATGTGAGGTATATTAATGAGGTAACTTTAAAGATGAGTTTTTTTGCAAACCTCTTGAAACGACAAATACTGCACATGATATACTTGACACAGTTGGTTCATTTCTGAAAGAGCCTAAGGTCTCTTGGGAAAAGGTTTGTGGTGTTTGCACAGATGGTGCCCCAGCTATGCTAGGATGTCAATCTGGATTTCACATTTGGTACTGAATGAGTCACCAAAAGTCATCAGAACTCACTGTATGATTCACAGGCAAATATTAGCAACCAAAACAATGCCACAAGAGTTATAAGAAATAATGAAAAGTATCATAAGTTCAGTCAATTTTATAAAGCACTTTAAACAGTCAACTGTTTTCACAACTGTGCAACGAATTGGATGCGCCGAATAATGCTCTGCTATTTCACACTGAAATGAGATGGTTGTCGGGAGCAAAAGTTTTAAAACGTGTTTTTGAGCTTTGTGAACTCAAAACGTTTTTTAATCAGAAAGCAAGACTGCAGTTTGAAGCACTTTTCAGTGATAAAATTGAACTGCAGAAAATAGCTTACTTGGTTGACATCTTTGCCATTTTGAATGAGTTAAATTTATCACTGCAAGAAACTAATGCAACATGCCTCAATTTGTCTAAAAAGATCTGATCATTCCAAATGAAACTTCAGCTTTGGCAAAAAAACAAATTGGGTGAAAATAAAATTTACATGTTGCCTACCTTATCTGCTTGGAGGAACATGACATTGAACCAGACAGGATTATGATAATTTCTGTGAAAGAACACTTGCACATGCTTGAGGATGAAATTTCATCGTACTTTCCAAATCTACCTGACACACCATTTGCAATTGCCAGAAGCCCACTCACAGTCAAAGATGACGATGTTCCTGAGACAGCACAAGAGGAGGTTATTAACAGCGATGCAGCGAGAACTGATTTCTCTACAATGCCAGTTACAGAATTCTGGATCAAGTGTTTGCACTCATATCCTGTCCTGTCTGAGACTGTGTTGCGCCTTCTTCTTCCATTTCCTACAGCATATCTTTGTGAAACAGGGTTTTCCAGCTTGTTGGTTATCAAGTCTAAATAAAAAGTAGACTTGTTGTGGAAGATGATATTTGTTGTGCTCTTGTAAAGACTGTCCCGAGAATTTCTAATGAAAAAGAAGCCATCTCGACCTTCCCACTGATGGTGTTTTACGCATCTTGTCGCAAAATGTAGCAATGTCGTTTACTGCTGTTATATTAAGACCGTTAGCCATGCTACACCATGCTTCAAAACAAAATTTCATTTATTTGTAATTAGAAATAAGTATTTCACAATATGTAATTGCATGTTGTTTTTGTGATTACTCACTATGCTTTAATTATGTTCAATTTGTAACAATGAAAATATATCCTGCCTATCAGATATTTATATGATGATTCATAACAGTAGCAAAATGACAGTTATGAAGTAGCAACGAAAATAATTTTATGGTTGGGGATCACCACAGCATGAGGAACTGTTTTAAAGGGTAGAGGCAATAGGAAGGTTGAGAACCACTGCTCTAAAGTCAAACCAGCAGGTCAGACTGGGGACACGTTTAAGACGATCAAGGCTAACTTCTGTACGTATGGCTGAGGCCCAGGGTGGAAGAAGAAGGGGAAAGGGAAGTCACCAAGGTAGTAAAGCAAAAACAGCAGCCAGACTGGCCCGAATCCCGCGGGCTCCCGACTCCTGGTCCAGGGCCTAGTTGGGACTAGCCAGTACGCTATTGTCTAGGGGGCTGTCAACGAGGTTGTCAAGAGATAGACTATATGGTTACTCTTTCCCCAGAATGTTCTTTCATCATGTTTTATTCCCTCAATTTAAATGGTTTCATTGTAAAACCTAGAAAACATTAGCAAGTAAAATCAATCAATGAGCATTTATTGAACACATTGTACTGAATGCTTCGCACATAATTTCATCCATTTGGATCCTCAGAAGAGCACTAGGTAAGTGTAAGCGTGACTTTTCAAAGCTGAGAGATGGGGAAACTTGCCCATCACGGTCAGTGAGTGGCAGAAGTGGGGTTGAATTGACCCAGTTCCACAGCTCATCATCTCCTGGCCACACAGCGCAAGAAATAACCAAAAGCAGCCATGGTTCTGCTGCACAAATCAGTGGTACAGCTTCCTTCAGCTGTTTTGCCCCTATGAATATAGAAAGACGCCTAGTCTACAGGGTTGACAAAGTGCTGTGTATACTCGGATAACAGTTTCCTGTTTGGGTTCTCCTCACGATGTTTCATATCATACGAGAGTGTGGGGTGAAGAATTTAACTTTGCCCACAGTAGTTTGGCCTTTGTTTCCTGAGGGATAGCTCTCAATGGAAGCCAATCACTGTCAAGGCCAACCTCCAGTCACTCTGTAGCACAGGACAGGTCTGCCCCGAGGGTTTCTGAGACTGTAACAGAGACCCACATCTTTCTCCCTCAGAGCTGATACCATCTTGAAATTTCCTAGTTAAAGTACCTTTGTTCCCTAGACCTCTGGACCAGGCCTGGGAGGCGGAGCTGATGAACGGGGTCTCACCTGACCAGAAAGACCTGGGCAAGTCCTACTACCTACCTGCTAACTTCGGGGGAGGTAGAGAGCGGATGCCCTCAGCCGTGACAACATAAGGAAGCCAATAAACCTTCTGGACACAGATGCTCCAGAGCTTCCTGGCTGGTGCAAACGTGGAAGCAGGTGGCAGGACAGCACGCTTCGGGGATGTGAACGCTTGTGCATCTAGACCTTGCCCTAGGCGTCTGTGTCTTCTTCTTCCCTATAATAAAACTGTGTAACAGTATAACACGCTAAGTATAACACTTTCAGCGAATTCTGTGAGTCATGCCAGGGAATGCTGAACCCGAAGGAATAGGTGGAGCCAGCAGATCAAAAGGCCCCAAGAGGAACTCCTGACCTTGCCGCTCACATCCTGAAAGGGCCCAGGGAAAGCCTAACTGCGCAGCCAGCAGCTCAGAATTGTCGCGTGAAACCCTGTGAACTCTGAGCCGGCTCCGGTGGTGAGGGTGAGAGACAAGTGGTGCGTGGGCAGCTGGGGTCAGGACAGAGCGGAGAGGTGAGAAGTGACGACCGCTCGCCTCCTCATGCGCCATGGCAAGAGTGGGATGCTGAGATTTGGAAACAACAGGGGGAAAGCTGCTTTTATGAAAAGTGATCGGTGGAATGTGACGGATGTCCTATAGCTTAGGCAGGGATCTCCT